AGGGAATCATTTATATCTGCTTTCTAAGTGAGTAACAATATTCTCAGAGATAATGAAGCATGTGATGGAAAACCAGAGAGCTTAAGAAAATTAGATTAATATACTGGGACAACTTCTCCATAAATTTTCAGTTCCAAAAGACACACTGTCCCTGTTACATGCCATAAAACGAACAAAGATGGCTGCACTTCTTGGTTCTGATATGGATCCAGTTATCTTGTTTACAGGGGCCCTGAGAGAGGAAAAAAATGACATGGGGGGGAAAAGTGCTTCTTTGACCTGCACTTATTTGCCCGATACTTTTAATCTTATTCATGAGGTGAAATAATGTGCTGCAGAAATAATCCCATTGACTTCACTGAGACCTTCTGGCAGAGTAAGATTGTGCTCAGTGTGATAGGGTAGCAAAATACAGCTCTTTGTAAAGTGTGTTTTGTTTATTTTTTAAACTTGGAGAGAGCTTGTTTTGTCTGACAGATCTAATTTATAAAGTATAAAAGGGTGGAAATGGCTGAGAATTTAAATTGGATGGTAACTGAGTGTAAATACCAGTGATGAATGATCCTGGTGGTATTCTAAGCTCTCAGCCATGTTTGTAGGTGGTTCTGGTCACTTCAGAGTAACAACCCTAGAATTTTTTTATACTGTATAGATTACCATATCTGGGTCTCTTGCTAGCAGCTACCATGTTGCTGAAAACTGTTATCAGCAAAACAAGTATCATTTTATACCAGTTTCCACACTGCCTTTGGTTATTGGTTAATGTACAGCAGTTTGCAAGTTCAAATATTTAAAGTACCTATAAGATGAAAAGTAAATTAAATACTTAGAAATCATTCAGTGTTAATAACCTGGAGTACTGGTACCTAAGATTTTTTTATCTTTTTAAATTTTATCCTGATGTTCCTCTATTATAGAAAATCCTGCCTCCACTGGATAATGCAACAAGAAATGTGCTCCATTTTCTAATGAAAGAATATAATTAACATGGTGCAAAATACTGGACAAATTTAGCTCAGTATTGAGATTTGAGAGTAAAATATTGATGAGAGATTTAGGGATGTTGAATTTAGATTAATTGGGTCATTGATTGTTGATGCAATTTGCATCAACAATTCCATTAGTCGATAAGGGCGCCTCGGACTTTAAAGTGTAGCAACAGACCCAGGGCTGTTGCTATACTTCAAAGTTGAAAGTGCTGCGGGGAGCGCATAGGACTAGAGGGGGACTCAAGCAGTCTTCTGCTGGCCCTGGGCTTCCCACATCATTTCAAAGCCTCAGGGAGCTCAGGGCCAGCTGGGGACTCCTTAGCTGGTCCCAGGCTGCAGCAGTGTTTCAAAGTGGGAGTGTCACGTGGAGCCCAGGATCTGGCCCCAGGCTGCACTTGGTGCTGCCACTTTGAAGCATCCCTTCTCCCCCTATCCCCCCCCTCCGCTGCCTCTGTCTGATAGAAGCAGTAAGTGGGGGTGGAAACAACTAGTCGACTAGTGTCGACTATCCAGTAAACATTTACTTATCGGATAGTAAGCTAGTAGTTGGCAACCCTAGAGAGATTTGCAGTTCCTTGTCAGTAGACTGCTATTCAGTTTTTTGGCTGTAAACAGGTACATGTCTTACTATCCAATCCTTACATGGACTTTGTAATCTTTTCTAATCAGGTTTGAAAGCTTTAGCTCTCCTCTGCATGTTGCCAGAAGGTGAAACTCTCTCAGAGAATGAGACCACTTCTGTCAGCCCTCCAATAGGTGGCACTACAGAGGTCTATGCCAAGGATAAAGTAATCAAGGGAACTAATAAAAAGCCAAGGACTAGCTCTTTTGTGCACTGCAATGTAAGTACTGATTCTTTACAAAATTCCAAAATACAAAAAATGGGCATCAACTTAATTATATTATCCTCAACAGATATAGGGTGAGCATGTTATACCTCCATCACTGGGTCACCTCACTTTTCTGAAGGTGACTTTGATTCCTCACAACTGCATGTGAGGACAAACCAACAGTTCCCCTCTGAATGGGCTGTGTGTGCCTAAATTAGTTTTTGTGGATGCAGGGAAATAGTGCCTCTCTGTAGTCTTACAATTTTGTTGCAAAAACAGGAGTCCTGTGGCACCTTAGAAACTAATAGATTTATTAGGGTGCTAGCTTTCTTTGGTAATTTGTTGCAATTTGATTTCATAGGCCAAATAGTTTTCCATGCAAGATAATCTTTATATATGTTGCACCCATATATATAGACACGCATGCGCACATACGTGCGCACATGCACACGCACAGAGAGAGAGAGGGGGGGAAAAATGTATAATTTTCACTTTGTATATTGAAACTTAAGGCTTGAATGTAGCATGAAATATATCAATTGAAGGGTTTTTATATCTTTTCTTTTTTTTTAACCATTTGAAAATGTCCACTCAGTTTCTTTCCATGGCATTAACTCAGTGAATTAAATTGTTCTTTAATCTCTTGGTACATTTGTTTTGTTGTGTTTTAGGGGAAAGGAGATGATGTGTTTGGTGAAATTCAGTCTTCTATAAATAAACAAGAAAAAGAAGAAAGCCAAAACAATCTTTCTAATGCTCATTTAACAAAGAAAGATATTTTGAGACAGGATTCAGAGATATTGGCTCTTAATTCTGCAGGTGATAGCATATCATTATGTCTTCCAGGTAGGAGCTACAATTTCATCCAACTTATATATACTCCACAGTAGGGGTGTTAAAATACATGTAGTTAAGTGTCTGTTTAATTGCTGAGAATGTCAGTGGTTACATGTAGGATGGCAGTCGGTTCCTTGACTAGAAAGTACAGCTTATATATTTTTAAAACTAAACTGTGGTCAGTGTAATATGAAATAATGGCTTAAAGGCACCCCTATATAATATGATTAATTTAGATGTAGATATGAATATATTTAAACAAGATTTAAGGTCCCGTGCACAGTGTTATCTATGTGTGGCTATACTGACAAGGAATGAACAATTTCATTACAAGCCAATGTTTTCATGATGTCAGTTTTGTTTTTACACTCAAAACTAGAAAGGATTTCTTAAAGTGGAGATATGTAGAGGCAATTCTCAAAGGAGAAAGAAAAAGTGACTTAACAGGAATCCTGTAATTACAACTACCTCTGCAAATGCATTTCTCACTCCTTTTGGATTTCTGTAGAGATCTTTGCATTAGTGAAAAAGAAATGGGGGGCAGCTGTGGAATAAAATGACTTCATATACTGTAAGCTCTGTCCAGTAAGTCCCACTGAGAGAGACTCCTGTATACACTTGTACACAGTTTAGGAATACAACATTTTCAAATCAGAGTAGAATTTATTAGTTAGCTGAAATACAGCATTGGAAGTCTTTGGCTTAGCATAGAGGAATAAAGGGTAAAGCTGAACTCCATGTCAGGTTCTGTCTCTCTCATGTCTTCTGAGTCAGTCCCAGGGGAGAGCAGCCAGCCTCCTCCAGAAACCAACTCTTTTTTTCCCTGCTGGTCACCTCTGTCCTTTGTTCTCCAGGCAGGGCCATGAGGAGTTCATGCACTCTGCTGAGAAGCCAAGGAAAGCCCCTTCCTCTGGGTTGATTGATTCCTGGGTGCTAAATGTTGTGGTGATGGGAGCTTTCCATTATCTTTTCAGGTTTTCCACTGATATGGATTGGCCTTCACAAATCCTTCTAGTGATCCATTCAGTCCACTCAGATAGCTAGGACACAGGCACATCTATCATTCTCCTGTTTCTCTTAGGTCTGCCCTGAAAGCAGTTTAGCAGTGCACAGTATAGTGGGAAGCTGAAGCACATGGAAAATATTTAAAAATACTTCAGAAAAATATGGTTTCATCTCATCCCATGGTTTAAAACCAGAGCTTTTGATTTAGTGTCTTTTTTTCCATCTATTCTTACCCACTCTTTTCAAATGTGCCATAGTTTTAGCAGTCAGTATTCTAAAGAACACTTAACTTGGAAGTTAAATGCTTCTTGCAGTATTTATAAAAGCCAGCATTCCACCCATTCAGATCATATTTGCAGCAGTAGTTCTAATTTTAGTAATCCAAAATAAGGTTGATAATATTGGAGGAGAATATACTAATCAGAACAAGGTTATTTTGAATAGTCTGTCTCTAAGACATCTTATCAGATATAGGGCTTGTCATAAAGATATGTTAATGTAGTATTGTTTGGAACAAAACTATGTTCATGCACAGTCGGAAACTTTTAGTGCCTGCCAGCAGGGCCAGTTAGGCTTTGTCTACACTGCGAGTTTTTTGCGGCAGAAAATATGGTAATGAGGGACTCATTAGCATGAGTCGCAATATCATTAGCATATTTTCTGCCGTTTTTTTTGTGCAAGCGGTTTGTGCAAAAAGATGCAGTGTAGCCTCTTCCGCTACAGGGTTTTTGTGCAAGATCCCTATGCCTGTTGGAGACATAAGGATCTTGTGCAAAACGGAAGCTGCTACACTGCTTTTTTTTTAAACAAAACCGCCTTGCGCAAAAAGAAATGGCAGAAAATATGGTAAAGATATCGTGACTCATGCTAATGAGTCCCTAACTAGCATGTTTTCTGCCGCAAAAACTCGCAGTATAGACACAGCTATAGTGCCCACCAACAAGATGTAAATTCTAGACCACTCTAACATGTCAGGTACTAATGCACTGTGTCGATAAACCCATTGAGTGTGTCTATTTATATTTCAGATTTCAAATATTAAATTTTCACTTACATTCAACAGTTTACTGTTTTTTAACTTTGTTTAAAACACAGGTGCTGAAAATTCAGAGGATTCATCCCAAAAGCAAGCTGAGAAAGTTCTAATGCCTAGCCAGGAGCAAGTCTTTGCTGAATGCTCTCAGAAGAGGATTCTGGGCTTGCTAGCAGCTATGTTACCACCTTTCAAATCTGTAAGAATGAATTACAATCCCCCCTCCATCAGTTTGTGAAATGCACTGATGACAACAATAGGCAAAATTCAAGCTGAAATAACTTTAGCGCCTCTTTTGCTAGTTTGTATCAAAATGCTAATGTTAAATTTTTTTTTGCTTTTTGTTACATTATTAATTAGCCACCAATGATCAGCTAAACCTCAATTTTTGTTTTAAATTGTTGGCTGAACCTTAAATCAGCCCAACTTGGTGTTACAGTTTTTGCTCTGGGTTTATGCACCAGTTTTTACCACAGAGTAAATTCCCTTCCTTGTTTTCCCCATCTGATTTTATGGAAAAAATATTTTAATATAAAACAAATATAATTGAAAACATTTTGCAAGATTCTGAGAAGCCCTTTCCCCCAGTTCTGATGGATCTCTATATGGTTTATCAATGTGCAGTTCATTTCTTTCTATATTATTTTCTGCATGTGTAGTTGGTAAGTTTAGCTAGAAACAAATTCACTGCCTGGATCCAATATAACTTTTATACGTGCTTAACTCTCAAATCATGAGCATTTTTTTTCTTAACATTTTGCAAGATTCTGAGAAGCCCTTTCCCCCAGTTCTGATGGATCTCTATATGGTTTATCAATGTGCAGTTCATTTCTTTCTATATTATTTTCTGCATGTGTAGTTGGTAAGTTTAGCTAGAAACAAATTCACTGCCTGGATCCAATATAACTTTTATACGTGCTTAACTCTCAAATCATGAGCATTTTTTTTCTTTTTAACAATGGAAGTATCTTCCCAACCAGAGCTATTTCCATGCCAGAGTTCACTTCTGCATACCAAAAGTTCAGAATTGATTAATTTGTTTTCTTTCCTCCCTCCTGCATGGCTGAAGAACTTTCCCTCAATTTTTTTTCCTTTATGTAGATACAAGGCTTGGAAATGTCAGCCCAAAAGGTGAAGATTTCTGAACATTGAGTAACTGAATGTGAATTTGAGCAAATACATTTTATGTTTTACAACTATGACTAAAGGTTTTTGCTGTGTTTACTGTTTTAATGAGATTTTTTTTCTTATTCACAGGGCTGCACAATCTCATTGATTAACCTGGAACAGATCCTCCCACTGATGTTTCAGGTTGTAATCGCCAATGCTGGCCATTTAAATGAAACCTATCATTTAACCCTGGGTCTTCTGGGCCAGTTAATTTTGAGACTTATGCCCGCAGAAGTCGATGCTGCAGTGACTAAAGTCCTTTCAGCCAAACATAGCTTGTTTGCGGGAGGAGATGGGTCTACAGTGCCAGAAGGCTGGAAGACTACTCATCTTTTGTTCAGTTTGGGAGCAGTATGCTTAAACAGGTGCTTTTTAATGTTCATCTCTAAAAATAAGTATTGATTTATATGCACAGCAGGAGGAGGGGAAGAATGATTTGGGTTAATTTTGGAGCCCTGTCCAGAAAAGAGTCTATTAGCCAGGGCTCCTATTGAAGGTCAACATCTCTTAGGGTCGGGTCCTATGTTGCAATCAACTGGGAGCTGGGTAATTTTCAAGGGGCTAATATAGGACACACTTGTGGAAAAGGTAGGATTTTGGGGCTTAGAGAAAAACCAAGGGCCAGTCCTCACTCTTGAACTCTTGGTGTGACCTGTCTCCTTCTCCTCCTAATTCCAATATGTCCCTCAGTCCAGGAAAAAATAAATGGACAAGCTGGAAAGAACGAAATGGGGAGGCAATTCTTATAGTGGAGGATAGAAGGAGTTGTCTTTGTAGAGGAGTCTAAAAAAGTAGAAAAGTCTTTCATTAAGGTAGAAATAGTAAAGCTTTGAAGGTACATTCTTCAGTACTTTGACGTAAACACTTGAGGAACTTGAAGGTAAATAGCATCCTTTATTAAATATTGGATTAATTATTATTCCATTATTTTTACTGGGGAAGAGGGATTGGAAAAGTTAAAAAACCATTAAGAAAAGGATGCAGAATATAAAGATAGAATACATAGATAATCTATAGGTTGGGCCTCACTCCAGCACTCTCAGGACCTGACCGGTCCAGGATGAGGGATTTTGCTGGACATGGGGAAGTCACTTCTGACTCCCCTGCCACTGTTCTCTCCAGCTTTGGCCCAGCCTCCTGACTAGCTCCCACTGCTGGCCCCTTGCCAGGCAGCCTGCAGCCTTCACTGTTCTATCATCAGGCCTGAATCTCTGATTAGCGGAATCCATTTCATTTTAGCAGAGCATTAAAATATACTTCTTGAATATCAGTACAGCCACAAATAGAATACCAGGTATGATTCCAGAACAAGCTGTACATCAAGAAATCTGCCAACTTCCAAGTCTCATGTTACCATAGATTGAAATTTGTATCTAGTCGTTTGCCGCTATGCACCAAGCTCTTGCTTCCCTGCCGGCATGGAGGGCTCCTAAGCGCCAGCCCTCCACTGGGACTCTGGTCTTGGAACTTGTGTGGTCCTACTGGCTGTTATGTACTATACTGGTCTGAGGAAGAGATTAATCAATCAAGGAAATACAGGGTCCTGGGCATTATGTAAAGATACTTTGGCATCCAGTTATATCAAAATGTAGACTTAATTGTCTGATTATTTAATAAGACCACGCCCCCAAGCTTGTCTTCTTCATGTGCAAGAAGAAGCAAAGGAAGGAAAAAAAATTCCCAGTCCTAAACTAAGTATTTTTAAGTATTCTCCATTTTTTTAAAAAAATCATTTAATGAATAGAATTAAGGGCATTTATATATCTGAATTCAAAGGCTCAAGTAGTGCTGTGAAAAAACGTGGAAATAACATAATAGTGTTTTTGGTGTTTGAGGGAGAATAGCTGCATAACAGTCTGCGCTCAAGCTGCCTAACACAATCTAACTTTGTTTCCTAGCCGTGTAGGTCTGGACTGGTCATGCTCCATGGCAGATATTCTTCGAGCTTTGAACGCTTCTACACAGTGGCATAGTGTGATCGCAGCTTTCACAGACCATTGTATTAAGCAGCTGCCCTTCCAGTTAAAACATACCAATATTTTCACCTTATTGGTACTTGTTGGATTTCCAGAGGTAATTGAATGCTGATAAATGCATAATGATTTGAGTTATAATTACAAAATTTAATATTCAACATTCAAAGCTACATTTTAATGCCATAAATGTAATGCCACAGAACTCAAAGCCTCATCCTGAGAAGTCCATCTTTTGTGTCTATCATTGGTTGTAGTCTTTTGTCTAATGGGAAACAATATAATTACATAGCTCTGGTTTTTGCTTGGATACATTTAATTGTGGGCAACTTGAAATTGGAATAGCATAACACTGAACATAGAGATATTAGATATCAGTTAATTGAATAGTCTTGTCATTGCATGAAATCTCTGTTGTTACATGACTATTCAATAGTCCCTGAGGGTGGGACTGGCAGCCAGTGAGATCTGGGTCCTACTCTTGGGGGAGCCCCCTGCTACCCTGTGCTACTGCCTGTGTCCGCAGGAGCTTGTCTGCGAGAGAAATCAGTTTAAAACCAGCTCCCTGGCTGCCTGCCACCTCACGATGCTGCCTCTGATAGAGGCAGGGGCTGAGCTCCCTGAAGAAAGAAGCTGATGTTGGGTGGGGGAGGCTGACATGAAGCATCCTCTGTTCATGGCAGAGCCCCCCATGGACAGGGGCTGCTGGGGACCAGCCTCTGTCTGCTGCTTTGTGTCGGTGTCCCCTGACTCTTCCCTCCTACCCTCGCTGCTGCCTGGCGGGAGAGCAGGAGGCACCATGGAGCCAGTGCTGGGGGGAGCTGGCTGATAGAGGCAGTGGGGGATGGGGAGGATGCAAGTAATCATCCAGATTAACCGATAAACCTAGGCTTGTTGGTTAATCGTACAGTCAACTACTTGTTGACATCCCTAATTGAACATAAAGGGCTTTTATAACAATATAATGCAAGCTATTTTCCTCTATATTGGTGTTTTTTATGTGTCTCTGGAATATCGTTAATATGCATCTGAGGTATTTTGTTACAAAAATATATTGCATATCTCTAAATACCAACAAATATTGGAATGAATAATTAAATAATTTTGATATCCAATATAAACAAAATACAACCAAGTATGTAAGATAAAGTAAAAATAAAGTTGTTATACTGATAACTGAAGTCCTCTGTCTAACTTTATTCTGCTAATGCAGGTGCTGTGCATGGGAACTCGCTCAGTGTACATGGATAATGCCAATGAGCCTCATAATGTAATCATCCTAAAGCACTTCACTGAGAAAAGCAGGGCAGTTGTCGTAGACATCAAAACCCGGAAAAGGAAAACAGGTGCCTTGACATTCTTATATCTAAGAATTGTATGATATTCCTTACAATATCTCTTATGAGTTTCCAAAGCCTAAAGTTGTATTAAATAATTTTATACAGAGCTTTGAACTTGGGGTCCCTAGAGAAAATATATCTGACTTCTCCCCATAAATCAGATCAGGTTTTTTAGGTTTCTGTTAAACTCTGATATTCTTGTACCAGGTGATATTATTATTTATAAATGTGCACAGAATATAACATTTCTCTTATTGTTTTGTTGGTGTACAGACCACACAAAACAGTACTTCTTTATGAGGTTAACGTGACAGGTACTGCCTTAGGTTTTTATTCTGTGTTTGTACAAGTTGGCACTATGGGACCCTGGTCCATGACTGGGGGCCCCCCAAACACTACAATAATACAAAGGATACTGAGCCTAGAGAAAATTCTAACATGACTGGGTTTTTTTCTTCCAGTAAAAGACTACCAGTTGGTTCAGAAATATGAAAAAGAAAGCGCTGAATCCCAAACCCAACTGAGACAGTATCTCCAGCATTTTGCTTTTATAACCAGCCACCTTTTGCAGACCAGCCTGGACAGTAGCTATTCAGAAGCAGTGGAAGCCAGTTGGGTCTTGTCTCTTGCTCTTAAAGGATTGTACAGAACACTTAAGGTGAGAGGGGGTGTGTGTGTGACTCTGACAGTGACAGCGACCAGCTACATCAAAGTGTGAAGTGAGGACCATGAGCTCTCTGGATCAGGGACATTCTTGTGAAGAATCTCACATAATGGGACCTGATCAGTGTTCTCTCTAAGCTGCAGGGCAGCACAGCTTCACAGGTGATTCATCAGCCCCACCCAGTCAGGTTCAGGGCTCTGTGCTCAGAGCTGACTAACTGGCTGGGGCTGATTAATCACCTGAGAAGCTGTGCTGCCGCCCAGTTCAGAGGGAACACTGAATGAACCTGATCCTTGAGAGGTTCTAGGCATCACCATAATATTAAAAAATAGTCAAGGTCACTTGTCCGACCTGACCTCTTGCATTCTCTGCACATAGAGGCTGAGCACAGCTCAGAAGAGTAGTTTCAGGAATATTGTTGGCATGTGTTTGATCCATCTTCCTCTGTGTTAAATCTGACTATGAGGATGCTTAAGTAAGTATGAGGGGAGGTGGTGTGTTCTCAGTACTGCGGGGGAAAAATAATCAGATTTGAATGAGTTCATCTGGCCTCTGTCATTGTGCACAGTAAAATTAGTGTTTACTAACAGCAGTGAGATGGTAGTGCTGTTACACATCTCGTGAGTAATGAGAGTCATGATAAATTTTGCTGGAATATTTAAAAGAATACACTTTTACTTTTCTCATAAGGAAGGTTCTGCACGGTGGGAATTGTGTATTGTCAGGTGCCTCCCACAGTAACTTTTTTCTCTTTCACAGACTCATGGTTTTGAGGAGACTCAAGCAGCATTTCTTCACTCGGGCTTACTTAAACTGCTGGTGAAGAAGTGCAGCAAAGGGACTGGTTTCAGTAAGACATGGCTTCTCAGAGACTTGGAGGTAAGAGAATAAGTAACATTTTGTGAAAAATCAGAGCAGCTATTGTATAAAAGCTCCAGATATTGCATTTTCACTGCACATTAAATTCCTTTTTTCCCAGCACAAGTATTATTGGTCCATGGTGTCCAGGCACCAGGAATATTCCTGGCCCAGGGCCTGACTCCACCAAAGTTCGGAGCTGGGTCTTTTCCCCTGGCTCTACCTGCCACCCCCAGGTGATTTAAAACTGCCCAAGGCACCCTGCCGCCACCACCACCACCAGCAGTGCTGCAAGGCTAGAGTGGCGTCTGGTACGTCCCTGCAGCCTGGGGCAGGTGTGTGTCCATGCTCAGCCCCTACCCTGAACACCCCTGCAGCCAATGGGAAGTTTTGGGAGTGGTGTATGTAAGTAGCAGCATGTGGAAATCCCCTTTACTCCTTGGCCTAGGAGTTGTATCTGGTGGGGGGGTGCCACAGCCCAGAGCCTGCATCCCAGGCCCCTTTCCACAGCCCAACTCCTTATCCTCTCCTGCAGCAAACTCCCTCTCAGAGACTGCACCTCCTCCTGCACTCCAGTCGCTTGACCCAGCCCAGAGTCTGCACCCAGAACCCAAACTACCTCCCACAGCCCTGCTGCAGCCTTGGAAGGGGAAGGGAGTTTGAGTGGGGGAGCAGTGTGAGTTCTGGGCACCACCAACATTTCTGCAAACGTGCCACTCCTAGTTGAATTGATTTAATCTGGGATTTTTCAGGAGGCTTAATGAGGGTAGTATCCAAAGTCTCCTTGCTATTTTTCAATTTAATTTTTCAATTAAATCAATCAGTAGCTCTCCAAGGTACCTGATAGGGATGTAATAGTGTAGTCGATTAACCAATAAGCAAAAGCTTATGGGTTAACGCTATAGACTACAGTAAATTTTTCAGCAGGCAGGCCAGCAGCCCGGCTCAATCCTGGCTTGCGATGGGTCTGGGACCGACCCCTGCAGCGGCTCTGCATTTAAAGTATATTACGAGCCAGCGGGCAGGCAGCCTGGTTCAATTTTGGCTCATACCGGGTCTAGGAGCTTAGACCCTCCCCTCCCCCAGACAGGGGTTGTTGCCACCCCGTGCTACTGCCTTTTTATCCAGAGGCAGCAACACAAGGTGACAGGCAGCCGGTCCATGAGGGGGGCTAGTTTTTAAAGTGGCTCCCCTTGTGGGCCAGCTCTCACCTGGCACCCCCGCTGCTGCCTCTGATAGGCAGCAGCCTGGAGTGGCAAGGGGCTCCTCAGGAGTGGGTCTGGAGCTCACTGGCTGCTGGCCCCACCTCTGGGGCCTATAGAATAGTCAAGTAACCAATAAGAATTCATGAGGTTAATCGACTATTCAATTAACCAATATTTAACATCCCTAGTACTTATTAGATGGTGTTGCTGTACGCAGAACGTAAGCATATATACATGAATCATTACAATAGTGTAACTGGTGGGAGGTCTAACGTATGGTTGGACACATTGGTTTTTGTCTTGTGGTGGGTTTTTTTTTATTTTGAACATCTGTTATTGAAGGGAGGAATTGGCAATGCGATTTTCTACATTATGGTAACCGACCATAGTGGCTCTATGAAGTTTTTCTCTTAGTGTCTGTACTAGCCTAGATGCTTACAACTGATATAAATTGGCAAGACCAAGGCAGTATGTTATTCGGCTGCTCTTAGTAGTTAATTTTACTATGCATATTGGAGCCAAATATGTAACTTACTTGTTTTTCAGGAAAAAGACTATGGCTAAAAAACACCATTTTGTCTGTGGATGATAATTGCAGCTAATCATATGGTGTTCCTATATTGGATTACTTGAATATTAACACACTCAAATTGTTGAAGAATTAATTTCTCAGTTGTTTTAAATCTGAGTAATTATTTTAGATGTCTTCATAGAAGACTGTAACATGCATTTAAAAGTATTTAAAAAATGGGAAATGCTATTTGAGTGCTGTTCGTTTTTAGAAAAGTCTGTGTTAATAATTCAGTCCAAGTTTTTATAATGTTTTTACAAGTACCAGTTGTACATACACTAATAATAGCTACAGGTATTATATATACCACATGTTGCTTTTTTCCATACAGATTTTGTCAATAATGCTGTACTCCTCAAAGAAGGAGATCAGCTCCATGGCTGAACATGAGGATACAGAATTAGAGGAAAGGGAGAGAGATCAGGATGTGGACCAGTCTGTCAGCCCCATTGATCTGGATCAAAGCAAACTTGATCCTCTAGAGGGCTTGGATGAAGCAACCAAAATATGTTTCTTGGTACTTTTTTCCCCCCCCCCCCCTTTTTTGTGTGTGACACAATTGTTTCCATGTGTTGGTCTTTAATTTTTTAACAACTTTTTTAGTTATTAATAACTGACTGTATTATTGCCTAGATTAAATATAATTGTATATGTGGGCTTCAAAAATAAATATTACTAAGGTTTTTAGTAAGTTATAACTATAGAGATTATGAAATTCATTAGTCCTTTATTTATATGCTGAACAGGAAAATGTATGTGTAGATAATCCCAATTGAAATTCACCTTTCCTCACCTAGCCTTACTTAAGTTTTGTTTCAGATGACGCATGATGCACTCAATGCACCTTTGCATATTCTTCGTGCCATGTATGAGTTGCAGATGAAAAGAACAGATTCTTTCTTCCTGGAAGTTCAAAAGAGGTAAGGGAGCTACTGAATCCAGCAGAAAAACAATCATTGAATATAGAAGATAATTTGTATTCTATTACCAGGGAGCTAAACAGAAACTGCTATATGGAAAAAGATATGAAACTGCTTTATAGTACTACTTAAAATGTAACTGGAAAATTGATTCCTGTTAAATTTAGAACTGCAGATGTGAGGACAGAAGCTAGGATTTTTGAAGTATGTCGTATGTTCCTTTGGCTGACTTGACTCTCAGTATCTATCTGTAGAAGAAATTGCTTTTATGGATGGAAAGTCAGATATAAAAGTATTTCTCAAATGTCATCCTAAGTGAGGAAGAGAGATGAGCATAGACTTACTTACTTACTGGCACTCAGAACAGCTTCTGGTACCATCTGCTGCTTAAAAAATCAAGTTGCAAGACTTGAACATATTTTTCAGTTAATAAGATCAAATGAGAATGTTAGTTGATCTGACCTCACAAAAGAGTAAGGTAGAAGTTGGATAAGAGCCTTCTATGTGCAAGTCAGGAAAGCCTTAAATGCAAATGTATCTCTTTAAGTTAATTGATTGCAATATTTGTCCCTTTTTAAGGTTTGATGGAGATGTGATTACGACAGATGAAAAGATCCGAACATTAGCCCAAAAATGGCAGCCCAGCAAGCGTTTGAAATTGGAAGAGCAGAGTTCAAAAGCAGTGGACACAGACATGATCATATTACCGTGTTTGGTGTGTGCTCTTACCAAATTTTCTTTTTCTTTTGAAATCATAAGACTTAAGGATTCCAGTAATTTAGACAGTCCAAATTTGATTGTTTACATAGTCCTTAGATTAAGCTGCTTTATTCTATTAAAAAGAATAGGTAAGATATCAGCAAGAAACATATCCATCTTCTCTGCAGTTTCTTTCTTGAAGATCTGGAAGAACTAGATTTTAGACCAGGAGAACAAATTATGACTTTACTGCAATGTTACGAGTTCCCTATTTCACACAAGAGATTTTTATCTAATATATAACCATAAATACATACATTGACCACGTCACTGATGTGTTACCATATGAATAGATTCAATAATACCAAGGAATGGTGTATCCATTTTGCTGAAACAGATCATATGACTTTAGTAGCAAAAGACAAGTTAAGTGACTCTGGGTAGCAAGTGTCAATTAGTCCATGCATTGGGATGCAGCTAAAATACTGGAAATCCTGAGTATGGGATAGAGATGTAAAATTCCACTTAAAATGTTAACCAGTTAAAATATATGGTTAACCGGTGAATCAGTTTGCTGGGGCGGGTGGCATTGGAGCAGTTGCTCACAGCAGGCCTAGGTAGGCTGGAGCAACTTAACCTTCTCTCTCCCCCCATCCCAAGGTGCTGCTCCAGCCAGCCTGGGCTGAGCCCACTGCTCCACTGGGCAGGGCAGGGGGCTGCTCCATGCACAATTAACCGGTTACCCCCAGTAAGCATGCCGAAAAGGTGAATGCTCACCAGTTAACCCTTTACATCCCTAGTATGGGCCCAGCATGGCAATTTAAACCCCTCCAACACATTATCAAAAACCTACAATCTATACTGGAACAGGACACTACACTCTGAGAGGCCCTGGGGGACAGACCCATAGTTTCCTATAGACAACCACCTAACCTCAGGAAGATCCTTACCAACAACCACAGGACATACCACATTAATACCAACCCTGGAACTTTCCCTTGCAACAAACCCCGTTGCCAACTTTGTCCACATATTTACTCTGGTGACACCATCACTGGACCTAACTGTGTCAGTTATATGATCAAGAACACACATTCCTGTTCATCCAGAAATATAATTTATGCCATCATGTGCCAACAGTGTCCTTCTGCTATGTGTGTTGGACAGATTTCTCAGACACTTCGCCAAAGAATTAATGCCCACACATCAGACATCTTCACAAGGAAAAACCCGTTGCTTTTCATTTCAACCAATTGGACATAGTCTTAACGACCTTACTATATATGCATCTTACTTCAAAGAGACTTTAACACCAGATCACAAAGGGAAACTTCAGAACTTTCTTTCATTCTTAAATTTGTCACTTTACAAATGGGCTTTAACAAAGATGCTAATTACCTTAACCATTACAAAGATAGCTTCCCTACTTATCTCCCCAATTAGCCATTCATTGACTCATAAATAGCTATTTCCTGCTTCCCTCTCCCTCACCCCACCTTCTATACTGTATCTGATTTGTCAGTTTAATAATGTGTTCACTTTTTTCATTGTATTCCTTTGGTATATATGGTTGTGACTATTTTCTTCCACTATTTGATCTGAGGAAGTGGGTCTGGCCCATGAAAGCTCATCACCTATTAAACCATCTTGTTAGTCTTTAAAGTGCTACATAGTTTTTCCTTTTGTTTCATTGGAGAAGCTTAGGTATACGGTCATCACTAATTTTCACTTATTGGAAACATGTTTTAAACTTTTTTTTTGTTTCATACCTACTGGTTTCTACAACTGTATCTAGTACTGTGACTAGCTACAATATAGTGTCATAGTAAGTTATGGATCATCTCATTTAATGGCTATTCACCAAAAATTCATAGTTACTTTTTAAGGCCAGAAGAAATTATCTAGTATGATCTTTTGCATTGTATGGGTCCTAAAATTGAATCCAGTGATACCTGTATCTTATTTGTGCTTAAAGTGCAGCATGTCTTTTAAAAAAAAATACCCAGTCTTGATTTAAAGACTCCCAAGTGATGGTAAATTAGCCACATATGTTAGTAATTAGTTCCAGTGCTAGAATAACTTTCAGTGTTTAAAAATAACATTGTATGTTTGTGGTCTTAATGTACTTGATATATTCATGGCTTATTTAAAATAACATTGAACTGAACATATTTTCAGCTAAACAAGAATGAAGACAGTAGATCAGTGTTGGATACTGGGCATTTGAGCCTGGAATGAATAGATTTTGAATGCAGTTGTACTTAGCAGAAATTCTAGCTAGCTCTTTACCAAAGCATCAGAAAGGAAACAGCTGCTAATTTCTTAGTCGCTCTTAAGTGGCTGTGATTACTGTAGTTACAGTATATCCAATAGGAGTACCACAAAAAAGTGTGTGGAGCCTTGACATTATTGCTTCATCTGTACAATTCAGGTCAAGCTTATTCTCTCAGCATTAGAATCAGTTGGTTCCTGCCTGTATTTAATATCAGTGGTATATAATTGGTAACTATGTCCGTTGGCATCAAAGGACAAACTTAAGATACATTTTCCCTAAGCAGGCTTAGTTGTGTTCTCTGTGAAAGATTGGAACTAGTGATTTTTGATTAATCTAGTTATCCACCTGTAAACAATGATTTACACTTCTGGTTCTAGATTTCTCGACACAAGGAAGGAAGTTGCCTCGAAACTCCTTTCAAACCTGTGCTTGTCTCTTGCAGTCAAAACCTGTACTCTGTGATAAAGCCACTGAAGAATCCAATCCCATTACCCAGAAACTAATAACCAACACAGAGAGTGATCTCCAACTTAGCTATGTCAAACAGCGTCGTACCAAGAGTTCCATACTATTGCACAAAGAGCTGGATTCCAGGAGCAAAAAAGCTGTGCGGGATTACTTGTATCGAGTGAATGAGGCCACTGCTGTTCTTTATGCCAGGCATGTACTTGCCTCATTATTGGCTGAATGGCCTGATGGCGTGGCAGTAAATGAAGAAATCCTGGAGCTGAGTGGCCCAGCACACATGACTTACATTTTAGATATGCTTATGCAGCTAGAGGAGAAGCAGCTGTGGGAGAAGGTAAGTGGGCTGCATTTGTAGTCTGAAGGAATCTTGTATGTATGTGAACTTCCAGCTGACTAGCAAACCCCTGGAGGTACTTGTGATTAAAACAAAATGCAAAACTTTCAAAGACTTGAAGCTTCAAATTGTGTATCTCTTCTACAGTAAACTCAGTTTTCAGCCAAAAACAAGGGTTTTTGACAATATTTGTACAGATTGACTTGGTGACCAACAGAATACTAAAACCTATTTCTTGGAGCCAGCTGTTTCAAATAAATGAACAGCTAGGATTTGGAAAACTGTCAGTGGGATAAGGAGCCCATTTTAAATGCTGTTTTTAGCTAGGTTTCAGTATGTATTTTAAAAATCATAGAACAATAGAGTTGGAAGAGAACTCAGGAGGTCAAGTCCAACCTCCTGCTAAAAATAGGCAGAATCCCAACTACATCGTCCCAGCCAGGGATTTGTCAAGCTGGGACTTAAATACCTAAAAATCTTCTGCTTTAAAAATAATTGTTTGAGGAAAACAAGCTCTGAGACTTGTAACTGAAGACAAGTAGTAACTACCTACGTATCCATATGGCACATCATGCCATTGCTCTCTGGATTAGGGCTTTTGGACACAACTGGAATATAACTAATGAAGCATGTGTGCATGTCCAGGAAACAAATAATCTTTTGATACCTTTCCTGGCGTTATTCAGCTGGCTGCTGCACCATGCCTCATCTCAGTCTTAGTCTCTGCTGTATACATGCCTAAAGCTTAGGTTAAGAACTTCTTGTTAATCAAAAAGATGGGCTCCCCATGGGCACCGGTTCCTTGCCACCTCTGATACAGGCTTATCAGTTAATCATGTAGTGGTCTACACGTTGACATGCCTAGTAATTTTATAACTGGTAGAAGGATATTATTTAAGACTCATATTTGTAGGTTTATGGAATTTGAAGCCTGAAATATTTGACACCGTTTCTTAAAATTAAAAGTCAGTGTAGATATGGAAAGCAAAGTGTCAATCTGATATGTTAGTAAAATTCTCTAGATCAGTATTATGTGTCTTGTTCGCTTTAGGCTTTATTTACCTATCTCAATATGTTGTGACATTGTGGGATTAGCCTTTATGCCAACATCTATGCAGAGAGCTGAGAGAGGTTATGAAATATCTGGCCTTTCAAAATCTGTCTCAATATGCAAGAATCCCACCAAAGTAACAGGATTTGAAACGCAGTCTGAGGACTAAATGTAAACCTTCTTCATTTCCAGGGGACTGTACGCTCACCTAATGAGGCCAGTTGGTGATTTTGTTTTTGAGGTTTTTTTTATTTCCTATCAGTAGCTTGGTTTCTCTTTTCTAAGGGGTCGTGTTGCTAGACAACTTTGTCAGTCCTTGTCAAATCAGCGTGCAAATGCTGTTTTGATAGCAAACTGACCGTATGTGATGTGGTGGTGTATTTCCTTAGATCTTACAGAAAGTGCTGCATGGGTGCAATGAGAGCATGCTGGGAACAATGGCACTGACCGCCTGTCAATTTATGGAGGAACCAGGAATGGCCATCCAAGTGCGGGAATCCAAGCATCCTTACAACAACAATACTAACTTTCAGGTAATTTATATATGTTAAAGTGCAATGAGTCTGCATAGGTTTTGTGTGAAATGAAATTTCTGGGAAGGATTCTAATGGCACCTGTGTGGCTTAGGGAGCATAAGTCTTGTTGCCTTTCTCCGGGTTCAGGCAATGGGACTTGCATTTTTAACCTATGGCGGCACTCCTGGCAAATCCCACTCATGATCTTTCAGTTAACAAGGCATTCCCGAAAACTGAGGTTTCACCTTGTACAAAAGTATATAAGTAAGGTTCCTATTCAGTCAGATATGGTGTGTGTGCCTTCATTTAAGCATGTGAGTAATCCAATTAACTTCAGCAAACAGTCAACCTGTGGAACTCCTTGCCAGAGGAGGCAGTGAAGGCTAGAACTTTAACAGGGTTAAAAAATGAGCTGGATAGATTGATGGAGCTTAGGTCATCAATGGCTATTAGCCAGGATGGGTAGGGATGGTGTCCTTAGGGTGATTCTCTTTCCTTGTATAGTTTTATGAGAAACAATCCCATTCTAGGCACACTGCATTTTTGCAGCACATCCTAACCCTCATCTTGCTTTAAGCTATGATAAGAGGAAGCTGTATACTGAATTTGGTGGTCTTAGCTCGTACTGTTCAGGAGGAGTTCTTGATCAGACAGACATACTCACTCTGACAAACTCTCTCTACTATATAGTAGATTAAAGCCTTCAATTCAGCAAAATACTTCACCACTCATGCAGTTTAAACACATGAGCAGCCCCACTGAACATAAGAACGGCCATATTGGGTCAGACCAAAGGTCCATCTAGCCCAGTTTCCTGTCTCCTGACAGTGGCCAATACCAGATGCCCAGAGAGAGCGATCATAATAGGTAATCCTCACATGATCCCTCCTGTAATCCACATCCAGAGAAAGGAACTAGCTGGGAAAGCCCCTCTACTCCCAACTCTCCCTGCCCCTGCCTCCAACCCTCCAGGTGCCTTTAGGGAAGTCAGTGGGGGCTGAAGCTTCCCCCCCTTCCCTCAGTTTTGTAGAGGAACATTGCTGGCTGTTCCCTTTTGTCAGGGAATGTGGGGAAAGTACACAGTTTGCTGCATTTCTCGCTCTACTGGGAAGTGCAGAGGGCATACAAATGTGGGCCTGCCCCATCTGGGGAATATGCACCCCTTTCCCTGTTGTGGCTGCTGCAGCAGCCAGGAAGAGGCACTTCTCTTTTCCTGGCATTAGTTAGCAGTACCATACTAGTAAGAGGGTAGAAGGTAGTCCTCTTCCAGGAGAGCACTCAACAGCACCAGTGTTCCATGTTGGGCAAAGAGAACATGTGGCTAGAACAGGGGTGGGCAGTAATTTTTGATAGGGAGGTCACTCCAAGAAATTGGTAAGTGATCAAGGGCCACACTCTTCTGTGATGCTAATGGAGGTTGGGTGAAGAAGGGCGCTTGGGTTAAGGGATTGGGGTGCAGGGAGGGGGTGTTGGATCTGGAAGGGGGGTTGTGACCTGGAGCAGGGGTGTATAGGGGGTGCAGAGGTTGGATTACGACCTGGGGAAGGAGATTGGGGTGCAGTTGTGACATGGAGGGGGGTGCAGGGTCTGGGAAGGGGTATGGGTGCAGGACTAGGGGTACAGAGGGTTTGGGATACCCGGGGGGGAAAGGGTTGCAGGGAAGGAAGGGGCTAGGGTGCCAGAGATGGGCTCTGACCAGGAAGTGCTTACCTGGACAGCTCCTCGCCAGCAGGCCAGCAAGTTCTTCAACCAAGGTCCCTACCTTCCATGCCCCTGCATGTGCTCAGAGCAACTGCAGGGGCCATGTGTATGCTGCTCTGAACTGACTGCTGAGAGAGGGAAGAGGTACTTCACGTACTGTCTGTCCTTCAAACAGGCAGCTCCTACTGGCTGGAAACTGGCCAATGGGAGCTGCAAGAATTTGCTGGGGTGGGGACAGCATAAGAAGCCTCTCTTCCCCTCCCCTGGAACTCTAGTGTTCACAGCAGAGATGTAAAATCCTGTTTAATCAGTTAACTGGTTAAACATTATATTTAACTGGTTAACTGCCACATAGGGGTAAGCAAGGGGCACGGCAACTCATTTGCACTAGAGTGGCTTCCCTGCATGTCATGGCCAGGCCAGAGCAACCCCCTTACCATGGTGGGGGACTGCTCCAACTGGGCCAGGCTTGCCATGGGAGGGGGATGTTCCATCAAAGCTGCAGCAGCTCCCTGCCTGCGGGGGGAAGGGAGAGGGGACTGCTTCAGCCCCTGCTGGTTAACCATAACTGGTAAACATCACCCAGTAAGGGTAATGCTTACCAGTTAACTATTCACATCCCTAGTTCAGAGCCCCACGGATGGCTTTTCTGAGTGCTGAGTAGGAGTGGGGCAGGCAGGGCAGTGACAGGCTGCCATATGATGGATCCAAGCGGCTTATCTGGCCCACGGGCTGTATTTTGCCTAGCTCTGCACTAGAGTACAGAGGAATGTCCCTTGGACCCAGAAATTCAGTGACAGTCCTGGGGGTTCTCTTAGCATTTGTATGCAGTAGAAATTCTGGTATGAGGGTGGTTTAATGCATGTAAGATGTGCTCTGGAGGTCAGTATCTTGGAAGCCGGCATTCTTGATCAGTGAATCAGTTTACAGGCATGCAATACAACTGTGCTTATTTACACATGAGCACTGCTAGACTCTATAGTTGTCACTTTTGACAGCACTCTGCACTCTTTGAATTAGCCCACCACTGACCTAATGAAGACTCTTTAATAGAGATATTGTAATCTTTGTACCTTTATCAGAGGCTGCCTTTATTGACTATTTGCATACCGATACAGTAAACTGGTATGGGTGTCATCTGTTTGCCTTCTTCAGGATAAAGTTCACATCCCTGGTGCTATCTATCTTTCAATCAAATTTGACTCTCAGTGTAATACAGAAGAAGGTTGTGATGAATTAATCATGTCCAGCAGCAGTGATTTTCAACAGGATCGGCACAGTTTCAGTGGGTCTCTGCAGAAGTGGACTGATTTTGAGCTTCCAGGTAAATGCATTGTATAGCTATACAATATATGTAAGTACAAATAAGTATAGCTTGCGGTGTGAGAAACCAAGACCTTTTAGTTTAATTTATGTCCCCTGATGTTCATGGCATACATGGAAAAACCCCTGCTCTTATCCCATCCCCAATTCACTCAAATACATGTTGTGTTCTCTATTCATGTTGTTGAACTAGCCTAAAAGCAAAACAATGAAAGTAAATAAAGACAAGTGCAAAGTACTGCATTCAGATAGGAAAAATAAATGCTCAAATACAAAATGTGCAATAACTAGCTAGGCATAGTACTCTGAAGGCTTTCTTTATCACAAATTCAGTACAGATTGAACCTCTCTAGCCCAGACTCTCTGGTCTGGCAGTATCTGTGATCTGCAGGATCTTGGATGTTCCAGAACTGGAGAGTCCCAGTTGGAGGGCTGGTGGCTGGGATCCCAGTAGCGGAAATCAGCAAAACCAGGAGCCCAGCAGCGGGCCTACTACCTGATGGCAGAACTACTTGGTGGGACCAGGAGGCGGCAGTGTTGGGGGGCCGCTGCCTGGTGGCACAATGAGGAGCTCAGTAGCTGGGTTGTTGCCCAACGGCATAACTTGTCAGTGGGGCTGGGAGGCAGCGGCACTGCCTGGTGGCAGGGCCAGGAACATGGGAGCAGGGTTGCCACCTAATGGCGCACTCAGGAGCCCAGCAGCCCCTCTGCTGCTCTACGGAGCTGTCTGGCAGGGCAGAGAGGCAGTGGGACTGCCTGGTAGGGCTGGAGCCCTCCACAGTGGGGCCAGAAGCCCTGCACAAGGAGAGACTGGGTGGGTGGTTGGCAGCCAGGCTATGGCTTCGGATGGGAGGCAGTGGCAGGTGAGGGGCCACAAATGACCCCTCCCCTGCCTCCGGTCCAGCAAAATCCCTCATCTCTGACCAGTCAGGTCCTAAGGGTGCTGGACCAGGGAGGGCCAACTTATACAAGCCAAAAGTGTGGTACAGTTGCACAAAAAGCTAATATCATTCTGGAGTGTAGTAACAGAAGTTTCATGTAAAATGCAGGAGGTTCCACTCTGCTTGGCACTGATGAGGTTTCAGCTGGCATATTGTCCCCAAATCTGGGCTCTCACAAACTGGAGGGAGTCCAGAGGAGAGCAACAAAATTAAATTTAAAAACTGATCTATGAGGAAAGGTTTAAGAAAAACAGCATGCTTAGTGTTGAGAAGACTGAAAAGAGGACAAGTGATTTCAGAGCATCATCCTAGAAGTTGTATGAATAGCTAAGTGTCAAATACCAGTTTATGGACATGATGTGACACTGAAATGATTAGCCCTAGCCATGTTGCTGCTCTATGTAGGATATATTGAACTAGTTACCTGAATACTGGACACAGTAGGGTTCTTTGAGATCCTCAGTTCTCTCTTAGCAATATTTTTCATCCTTGCTAACACTCACTCACACACAAAACTTGGAGAAGCATCCTTTGTACAGAAGAGTTTTCAAAAGCTTGAGGGCTCCCAGCTGGTAATTAAAAGTAGTGATTCATATATTAGTAACTTACTCCTTTTTCTTGTCAATATCCGGTAAATTTTGCTCAATATCTCACAAATCATTAATCAGTTCAGTTAGAAAAGAGGTTTAACTAATGTGCACTAGTTTCCTTTACACCTCCCCTCCTCTCCCCTCCCATTCCCCCCTTACACACACACTTGGCTAAAGCAATTCTGACAAAATATAGAAAGCATTAATCTCTGTGTGGGTATCTTTATGCACTAGTGGCAGCTGTTTCACATTCTTGATCAGCCTTCCATTTGTCTTTGTTCTGTTCACTTTGGGATTACCAGAAGGGTGAAAGATGATTTAATCTACAATCAAATTATTTTAGTAAACTTTTCAGTTCTGTTCTATTCTGTTTGTAATAGCACCTTATCAATTTTTTTTTTTGGTCTAATGTGGATGGTATTTTCCACAGGAGATACACTATATTACCGGTTCACCTCTGACATGAGTAATACTGAATGGGGTTACAAGTTTACAGTGACAGCAGGTCACCTTGGAAGGTTCCAGACAGGTAAGAGTGTGACTAATTTGACTTAGTACAGTTACTTCGATCCATGCTGTCACACATTTTTTGTATTAACATTCCTTGGCATATACTTTTGTTTAGGTTGCTTGGCATGTGCTTTTTCCCCCTCAAGTGTTCTTAAAAGAACAATACAGTGTTGTGACGTGATTCATGGGTGATCCTGAGTTTTGATGAATGGCTTCTGTTCGTTCTGGCTTAACAATGACAGAAGTATCTAAATTCTGAATCTTGAAAACTCGGAGCGAAATCCGTCACGCACAAGTCTCCAGGATACTTACCAAAATACAACTTGGGTTTCACAGACCACTTTAGAGTTGTCATAATATTGATAATTATAAATGGAAGTCATTTAAGTTGTTTAAAGAGTAATTATACCTGTTACGATGGACTCTTCTAGTTCATTTGCAAATGCAGTGTGAAAGGCTTTATTGGTTTATTTAATAAATTGACATTTTAATATAGTCTATTGAAACATGACTCTGTATTGGAATGCTTTGCAATTCTCTTAGGCCTACTGTACCTCAGATATTTACTAGGGCTTAGATTCTGTTGTCCTTCCCTGGGAAAAACTCTAATTGCAAATATTAGGGTTGGGATTTTCAAAGAAAGTTGAAGGAATTTAGCCACATAACTTCGATTAAATTTTGCCCAAGAAAGGACTTCGGGTGGCTGGAGTTGGCCCTTCTTTCTCCAGCTCAAGTTTTGTCTGTGAAATCTTTATTTTTGTTTGTCATAACAATTCTGGGGTGAGGACGGTTTTGCAGTTCTCCCTACAGATATAACAGATTGTATTCAATTCCAGGATTTGAGATTCTGAAACAAATGCTGTCAGAGGAAAGGGTGATCCCACATCTCCCACTAGCCAAAATCTGGGAATGGCAGGTTGGAGTAGCATGCCGACAGATCGGACACCAGCGTTTAAAGGCCATCCACTTACTCCTGAAGATAGTGCAGTGCAGCAACCAGAGGTAAATCCATTGCTCCACTTTGTACACTAACCCATACCTTCTGAGGAAAGGCTATGCTAAAGTCAAGTCCTGAGAGAACCAGGGGATCATAATTTAAAGTAGGTTACTAGGATTGTGAAGGGTTAACTGGTTAAACAGTGGGGCTGGAGCAGCTTCCCACCTTCCATGGAGCAGCCTCTCCATGGCGGGCCCAAGCGCCCTGCAAGCAGGGCGGCTCTGATTGGGATGCTGGACCAGTCTAGCCCTCCACAGGCAAGGGCTGATCTGACCAGGATGCTGAAGCTGCTCTGGCATCCTGGTGGTATGGTGGCTGCCCTGACATCCTGGACAGTACGGCCCCTGCCTATGGCAGAGGTAGGAGGAGGCGACCAGCTACTCCAGCCCACCTGAAGGGCTGCCTCCCCCCCCCACACACACACACTTCACCCACTGTTAATCGATTAATCAATGTTTAGCCAATTAAATGGGATTTTACATCCCTAGTAGGTACTTACTGTAGGTTCTTTTGCTGATGATGGGTTTCAATAATGTCTTGCTAGCCAAAAATTGTTGAAATAGTGATGTTCTGAACATTATTTTTCCTTTTCTAGATGGCTTTTTAAAAGATTCTTTGGAACAAATCTATTAGTCAGTCAGATTTCCAGTTAATTGTTTTTAGATGTTAATTCTGTTAAAATAAATTTAAGGATCCATGGGTGAGTCTCCCCTTCTTAGCTAACATGAGGAGATCAAGGACAAAGTGGAGAAAAAACATTTACTGATTCAGTATTGCAATTTATACAATGCAAGCTGCATAAATGGAACTATAGCTTCAGGTGAGTTCATACTTGATTCTGGCTGGCAGAGGTGGTTGCACTGGGCAGAAAGAGACAATTGGGCAATATATGGACCCTGCCCTGCTGGCTCTTAATACATTTAAAAAGCAGAAGCGCGGAGGCAGTGCTCTGGGGGACCGGCTTTTAAGCCGGTTCCCCAAAGAGACAGCAGGATAGGGGGCAGTGTCTAGTCGAGGGACTAGTTGGCTATCTGATAAGCTTATGCATATCGGATAGTCGACTAGTCCCTTACATCCCTAGTAGAGACTATACTAAAACTTCACTGTATTGTAATGTGAGGAAAGGCAGGATTGGGAACCCTGTTACTTTTAAAGTGATACAGATGACCTATACTTACGTTAAAAAAATAGGAATACCTTTTCTGCTTATAGGTTAGAGTTGCAAAGCCCTAACTTTTGGAGTCCAAGCATTTGATAAAGTGCTGCATTCAGTTATTTCAAAGATCCCAATTGGCCAATTAAGCCTCATTCAACAAAGTGCTTTAGGCTTGTTTAAGTCCACGAACTTGGACTTATGTCTAATGTTAAGCACAGGCATAAGTGTATTGTTGCATAGGGGAAGAAAATAGGCATGTGCTTAAATGCTTTGCTGACCTGTGACCCAAAAATGGCATCTTAAATCTCTTTTGGGTGGAGTTTCAATTGAGCGGCAACATTTCTGTAACCAGGTATTTCAAAATCCAATTCTACCTTTCTAATCAGCTTCTTGTTAAATGCTTCAGGATGTTACTAGATTTCAGCTCCCTTGAAAATATTGTTCTTTATATAAAAAAATGGGTTTGGGGTCATTAATATTAGTTACCCTGCATTCTGCTTAAATAACTGATGTTAGGTTGTTGCATTTTTTTAAGGGACTGTGACCTTACCTTGTTAAAGCCCCTGTGGCAGCTTTTCACCCAGATGGAAAATAACCAGTGCAATGACGTGTCCAAGCCTGGTGTTCTTCTTCTTCCACTCCATCGTGCACTCACCGAACTCTTCTTCGTTACAGAGAGCAGAGTGAATGTAAGCAATCTGTTTTAACCATATGTTTCCCTTTCATCAGCACTGAGACCAGCAGGTAGAATGTACTGCTAGATGGCTTTCTTCCTCCTCTGCGCAAGTAAGTCAGGATTTCCTAGGCACCAGACAAGTTGTGAGCATTTTCCCTTGTGGAGTTCAATGGCAAGCTCTAATACCGGGACATATACTATCTCCTTATCAATCGTACAGCCTTAAATAATGGGCACGGTTCTTCCTAACGAACTAAAGCATGCATACTCTAATCTTCTGCCTACACTCAAGGGAGAACTGGATTTGATAACCATTTGAAATTAAGGTTTAAATGTGATGCAAGGCAAACCTACACTGAATCCTGAAGTGAAAATTGTGCAATCTTGAGCATAATTATAGACCTATCAACTTAACTCTTATACCTGGAAAAATACTGGAACAAACTATTGAGCAATCTATTTCTAAGCACCTAGAGGATAATAAGGTTCTAAGTAATAGCCAATATTAAATGCTGAGAATAATTCATACCAAACCAGCCTGACTTCCTCCTTTGCCAGGGTTCCTGGCCTAATGAGGAGGCGCAAAGCAGTAGAGGCGATTATTTTTTGATTGCCGTAAATCTTGTGGCACAGTCCTACATGACATTCTCCTAAGCCAACTTGCGAAATGTGGTATAGATGAAATTACTATAAAGTGGATGCAAATTTGATTGAAAGGCCACACTTAGAGTAGTTACCGGGGTTTGCTGTCCAAACTGCGTAGATGCGTCTAGTGGAATCCGGCACAGATTTGTGCTGGGTCCAGAACTGTTCAGTGTCTTTCTTAATGAAGTGGAAAGGGCATTTATAAAATATGCAGCTGCCACCAAGCTGGGTAAGGTTGCTAGCTCTTTGGAAGACAGAATTGAAATTCACAATAGCCTTGACAAATTGGAGAACTGATCTGGAAACAAGGTGAAATTCAATAAAGAACAAAGGATTTGAGAAGGAAAAACCAAATACACAACTATGAAATGGGGACTAATTGGCTAGATAACAGTACTATCAAAGAGGATGTAGGGGACATAATGCATCACAAATTCAATATGAATCAAGAATGATACAATTTTTTTAAAAAGCTGTTATTCTAGGGTAGATTGCTGAGATTGTCGAATGTAAGAAACAGGAAGTAATTGTCCAACTCAGACTCTGGGGAGTCTTCAGCTGGAGTATTATGTTCAGTTCTGGGCATTACTCTTTTTGGGGGGGAAAAAATGAAAATTGACAGTCCAAAGAGAAACAAAAATTGTAAAAAGTTTAGAAAACGTGACCTATGAGTAAATGTTAAAGAAACTGGGCATGTTTAGTGTTGGGGGGAAAAAAATGGAGGGAGGAGACCTTGATTGGCGGGCTTCAAATATTTTTAATGTTATAAAAATGTATCTCCATATCAGCGAAATGTAAGATGAAGTAAAAAAGAAGCAAGAGATATTTAAGTTAGATATTACGATCACAGTTCTAACTATAAGGACAGTCTTTTAAGGAGGATTGTGGAATCCTAGTCATTGGAGGCTGTAAGAATAGGTTGACAAATGTTTGTCAAGGATGTGTGTGTATGTGCAGAAGACAGGACTAGACAACTTTTCAAGGTCCCTTTTGGCCCTACGTTTCTATGGTTCTGTGAAAACTTTGATGAATTGAAGCTGATATCTTTTGGAGAGTGAAATGCTAATGCTGATTCTGTTCTGTAGAATAACATTGCTAAAAACATCTTGTTAAAGCAGTCTCACTGAGTATGTTTCTGCCTTCAGGAGCTTGGATCTCTGCAGGACTACTTGCTTGCCTTAAATACTGAAGAGCATCTTCATCGCTGCACAGCACAGGTAAAAAGAACAAAAACAAAAAATCTGTCAGGAGTCTTTCCTCTGACTGGTCCTGAAGAGACAGCCACTCGTTCTTGATTGCAGGATAAGCATTTTTCACTGTTTTGAAAGCCTCTCACATATATGGAATCAAATGCCTTGATGCATTCACTACCTATTCCCTCCTTGCACCCTCCTCAGTCAGGTGTTTATATTTCAGTACAATTGGTTACCTAAAGAAGACTATAGTTTCAGATTATGGCAATCCAGCTGCAGTGCGTGAAAGACGAAAATCTATTTCAGAAAGGGGAACTACATAAAAATTAGGAGGCTGAAAATAAAGGTATACTCCAAATTAAAAAAAACTCAGTAAGAGAACGAAAAGTGCCACTGTGGCTTGGCTTAACCAAGAAAAAGAAGGAGTGAGAGATTAAAAAGGCATAGTTTTAAAAGTGGAAGTTTAAATCCTAGCGAGGAAAATAGAATAAAGCATAAATTCTGTCAAATTAAGTGTAAAAATACAATAAGGAAGGCCGCAAAGTAATTTTAAAAGCAGCTAGCCAAAAACTCAAAAAATAATAGCAAAACTTCAGTACATCAGAAGCAGGAAACCTCCTAAACAACCAGTGGGGCAACAGGACAATTGAAATGGCACTCAAGAACAATAAAGTCATTCTGAAGAAACCAAATGAATTCTTTGCATCAGTCTTCACAGCTGAGCATGTGAGGGAAATTCACAAACCCAAGCCATTCTTTTTAGATGACAAATGTGACGATTGAGGTGTCATTATAGAGGAGGTTTGGAACAAATTGATAAACTTAACAGTAACAAGTCACCAGGACCAGATGGCATTTACTCAAGAGTTCTGAAAACTCAGATGTGAAATTGTGAAACTACTAACTGTGGTTTGTATAAATCATCTGTACCAAATGATTGAAAGATAGCTAATGTGACACCAATCCTTAAAAAGGGTTCCAGAGGTGATCCTGGCAATTAAGGACTGATAAGTCTAACGTCAGTACCTAGCAAATTTTAATTGAAACTATAGTAAAGAACAGAATTGTCAGACCCATAGACAAACATAATTTGTTGGGAGAAAACTCAACATGGTTTCTATAAAGGGAAATCATGGTTTACTAATCTACTAGCATTCTCTAAGGTTATCTACGAGCATGTGACCAAGGGGGATCCAGTGGATATAGTGTACTTAGATTTCCAGAAAGCCTTTGACAAGGTCCCCTACCAAAGGCTCTTAAGCAAAGTAAGTTATCATGGGATAAGAGAGAAGGGCCTTTTGTGGATTGATAACTGATTAAAAGACAGGAAATAAAGGGTAGGAATAAATGGTAAGTTTTCAGAATGAAGATAAGTAACTAGTGGTGTCCTGCAGGGGTTCGAACTGGGGCCAATCCTATTCAGCATATTCATAAATGATCTGGAGAAAGGGGTAAACAGCGAGGTGGCAAAATTTGTAGATACTAAACTTCTCAGGATAGTTAAGATCAAAGCAGACTGTGAAGAGCTGCAAAAGGATTTCACAAAAGTAGGTGACTGGGCAACAAAATGACAGATGAATCATAATGCGGATAAATGCAAAGTAATGAATTTTGGAAAACATAATTCCAACTATATGCACAAAATGATGGGACTAAATTAACTATAACCACTCAAATGAAACTACTCATGAAGTTGTCTTCCTTCATAGATAGCCGCCAGGAATATTATTACAGAGAATGCAAATTGAGTGAATGTAAATTATCAAAATTAAACTTGTCCCATATCAGGATTCTGCATTCCCTTTCCTAGCACTTAAGTCATACAGAGTCCAATCCTGCTCCCATTGAATTCAGTAGGAGCAGCCCTGGACCCCCAAAGTGTTGTTTTTTCCAGAAACTTTCTGAATTCAGAGTTTAATTCTCCCAACATCTCTGTTGCATCTCCAGTTCCCTTAACACTCCACTCATTCAATATGAAACTCCTCCATCTTAGTAAAACCCACTGTCCATTTAGAAGTGACACTGCAGTGGACTGCCTCGTGCATCCATATTAACTGACTTGTCTCTACAAAAGCAAAGATTTAGCAGATGGAGACATCTGGACAATCGGAAATGCAGTTGCTTTTTTGTTAAGCATCCAGAGCTTGTTGGATGCATGACAATTTACTTCATTGCCAGAACATAATCAGATGGATAGAGAACAGACTATTCCTATGTCTGTTAAACTCACACAACAGAGGGTGGCTTTTTAGAACTTAAAGTAATAATTACTCGACGGTGCTAATCTTCATGATGTTTCACTTATTTTTCTTCCTCCTCTCCAGGCCCTGAAAAACATAGCTGCTATCAGCCTTGCCATTAACTATCCAAATAAATCAACGAGTCTCTGGAATGTTTAATACTGGCTCATGGCCGGAGCGCATGGGATAGAATAGTTTGTCCATTGGAACCTTGGAACAAACTACTTCACTCCGTTCAGGAAAAGTTCCCTCAGCTTCAGCATATGGGTACTCTGCAGCCTTCCTCCTTTCCACTTCGATGTAGAATTTGTGAAAGTAAAAAACGCACTTCAAAGAAATAGCACATTTTGGAGTAACTCACATGTTACCTACAGTTACATATGCACATATTTTAGCATGTTAGAGTAAACAGAAAAGTATTTTTTTATTCAGAGAAAATGGGAGAAGATTTCTGAAGTATGAGAATGGGGAAGGGGCTTCTGTGTATACTTGCTCCCAGGAAAACTGAGTGATGATCACTGGTAAGGACGACTTGAAAAGTTTTACTGAACTGAAGCTGATGCCATCAACAGCATCCATTTTTCATTGGAAGTAAAATTGGTGAAGAAGAATCTTGTTGGTTTGTGTAAAAGTAGCCCACTCTTAAAACCCGCCAGCTTTCACTTTGCTTTGAAAGCCGCCCCACGTGGAGAAAAACCCGAGCAGTTAACTCATTACTGAATTTGAGGTTTTAAAACTATTGAGTGGTTCCAAGAGCAGTTAAGATTCCAATGACAGAGCATCCTTGAGAGGTGAAAGGCTCCACTGGTCTTTTTTGGTTTGATTGATTGACTGATCTTACTCTACTTTGTCTTAAATATGTACGATGCATTATTCTGGTTTAGTACAGAAATCACAATGGCTGTCCTTGGAGTAGCTTTGGAAAAAGGTGGTATGAGAAGCTGAGGAACCTTGGCTGTGATGCCTAACTTTTATGTTTATCAAAGATGGCATTTTTCGAAGAAATTATTCATGCCATATTTTTTCTTAACTCTTTGCTACTGGTAACCCAGGAGCTCCTTCTGGTGAACATTGGGAAACCCTGATTCCCAGCATCAAGGGGTGATGGGAGTTAGTGATTAACCCAATTTATCTCATA